CAATCACCTCGCTGACATGCCCATTCTCAACTTGATGTTTGGACGATCCGGCGATGCGGCACCTGTGCCAAAGCCGATGATCAAGAGACGGGCATCACCGTTGAAGGAATCCCCTGCTCGTGATGAGGAAGATGAGACATCCGATTGCCCCATGGAGCAAGTCGCTGATGAGAATCCATCCGCCTCTCAACAACCCGAGAATGTCAACATGGAGCAGGTTGATTATGATCCAGATTCCGACGACGATGATTCAGATAAAGAAGGGCATCCTCTCGCAGGAAGGCCTTTGTCAAAGGCGATGCCACATCCGAAACTTGTTCCAAAGTCACCGCCACCAGCATTGAGGCTTGTCTCCAAGGTCAAGCCAGCACCAAAGAACATCCTGGATGAAGAGACGGAATCCGACAATCATCCTGGTGATCGACCTGCACTTCCACGGCGACCAGTGATGCGGCCTGTCCTCACATCCAATGATCGGTGGTTTGTAACATATGGATCGGATACAAACATCAGCCAGCCTCCAGAAGGAATCCGTACACCCAGGACCTTTCGGAAACTCAAAATTTCTGAATTTTGTGCACGAGTACTACAAGGAATGCTCAACCATCCTCGATGTCAATCCGGACTTTCACTTCGTTCCTGAGCACGAGAGACCACATGGAGTTAAGGTATTCTGGTTGAAGGCAACTGGCATCCAACACTCCAAGGTGAAGGATCTCATGCAGAGAAGCAATACATGGACTTCATCAAGAAGGTCTACAGCATCTGCTGCTACACCAATGCTCAATCAGAAGTTTACGGAACCGACATCATCCCGATGGTATGCCACAACGGCAACATTGATCTCGAGAAGACCGTCCAGAATGTCGAACAGGTTTGCAAATACTTCCGCATGGATCCATCCAAGGCGAAACAGATCACAGATCTCATCCTCTGGCGAATTGAGAGAATGAGCAGATCGTTTTCCGGATGTCTTCGACATGATCCAAGGCATGGAATCCATAAGGAATGCAAACGACAAGTGGAAATGGGTCCTGATTGATCCGTCGAGCTCTATGACGCATTGACCTGCATCACACATGCCAGGAACTTCGTTGGAAATAAGCCAGGACTTCTCTTGATGGCTATGTTCCCGAGCTATGGAAAATCACGTTTCGAAATTGCGTTCGTATTTCCATCCGTGGACGGGTCATATAAGGAGCGCAAGGCACGGGGAGAAGTTGTTCCAAGGAATCGATGGATCGATAAGCTCAACACAAGGTCCGCACAAAATGCACTCAGGCCCGATGGCAAGGAATTCTATGTTGATTCAGAGATGGAGTTCTATGTGAGATGCAACAGCGGACACACACACGACAAGTCAAGATCCAATCCTTTGGACGACCCCTGTACTCTGAGCAGAAAGAGCCTCATCACGACGAACCGGACTATGATCTCCCAACGGAATCCATTCCGCTAAGTCCGCATCCGTCAAGATCCGAGGCGCCTCATGAAGATGAAGGCACAGCTCAGCCCAAGCACAGAATGCGAAGGCCGGCACCACCATCCATTCTTAGAGCATCCAATGATGTCCGTTGGACATCGTTTCTACAAACGACGCCGTCTGATGCCCCCTGTTGCGAATGATGCACTTTGGCAGCAATTCAGCCGCGATTTGGCGAGAATTCGGCCGCGATTTGGCGAGAACAGCCGCGATTTGTAGGCCTGGCTGCGTTTAGCATCGTCAGATGCCGTTTGCGCAAAAAGGTGTCCAACGCGCGACGTTGGATTGTCTAAGTTGAAGAAGGGAGAAAAATCAAGCCGTTCTCGAAGAAGCCCATCACATTCATGTTCCATGCAACCTATGAAAATCAGCTCTACAGCATCATGGAGCACGGGCTCAAATCTGGGAAATCCCAGTCAAACCCTTCGGGGAGACTGCACGTCCACATGGCATGCATCGATGACGTCATCCTCGACGACGATGAGTCAGAAGCCGCATTGACCCATGTGCCAGCAGGAAGAGATGCACTGTTGATCCTTGCATTCCTCAAGGACCAAGACTATGGCATCCGACTCTCCGAAGAGCGAGCAGCGTTGACAGACAAAACCATTGAGGCAAGACACATTGTTGCAGCAATTGAACCTGATGGCAGCCTCATGGCGAGCAACAAGTGGATCATGAAGAAGCATCTCGATCATGAAGATTACGAGATGTACGACACCAAGATCCGCGAATTTGCCGATGCCTTCTTCAATTATGTGAATTCCACCAAGCACAGCAAGGAAAAGGATACTTCCTCTGAGACCAAGAAGAGACGGCATTCCACGGATCAGGACGAAACTGAAGGAGAGATGATGGAACCCTCCGGGGAAAGATCCGTCAAGCCAAAGGTCATCGTGGAATATCACAACTCAGAGAACCTAGATGAGTTCATCCAAGAACTCAAGGAAATCTATCTCGAAACAGATTTGAACAAAAAGGACGCAGAGGAAGAGCTCGCGGGGACCAGGGAAAACCTCACCCGCTTCATGAACCAGTTCAACAAAGATCCAAGAAGAGATCCAAGAAGAGGTCATCCCAACTTGACAGAGTAGCCTCATTGGCACATGTCGATCCCGATGTCAATCTCGGTGAAGAAGAATTCTACTTCCCTCATCGAGGAGAATGTCCCACCATTGACGAGTACAAGCAAGCTCAACCAGGATCCGGATATCCGATCAGGCTTCCTCTTGGATTGAAGAAGCTCAGGTCACATGATGACCCGAAAATCATCCGAGCCTATGCCGATATCCTGGGATCGCTGATGCAGCCGACCAACCGTCCTCCTGTGGACTATTTGAATATGCATGAGTTCACCTCATCCATAGCGATCAACATGCTTACCCTGAACCATGGAAACCTCACAAAGAATCCAAAGCTGGACAACAGGGAGGTGCACAACATGCCGATGAAGGATCGACCGATCGTAAAGATGATGATGCAGAACAGTGCACACATCTTATGCCTGAATGAAGCAGACGCAGTCTTCAGTCCTAATGATGAGAAATCCAGGGAGCTCATCAAGACGTTCATCCGATACGGTTACAAGGGCATCGTAATCAAGCAATGGTCATCCAGACCGATCGCATGCTTTGTCCGTGGCGGACCTTCTGCACGAGTGGAACTTCTGGCAAGACACATTTCCACAAGGAGCCAGAATTGGGGAACCACATTCGGAATGTTCAGATGTTTCTTCGGAACTGAAGGAAGTTGCACTGATCCCGGATACGAAATTCCGACCTCGGATTGCTTGGCAACCACAGGAACATCCATGTTTACTGAATCCAAGAAGTACATTGGATCCAGATTGCCAACACGCACCATTGTCCAAGGACATGGCCGAGACAAGGAGATCGTCGTTCTCCACATCGAGTAGAGTGATGAGTTTCGTGGCATGATCCCGAAATCATCCAACAAGTCACTCCACGAGTATGACGACCGCCACATAACGAGGGCAGATCTCCCATTCGCAACCATTGGAGTCTTCCACATCCATCCTTCAATTAGCCATGGAGCAGCAAAGGAAGATCTTCAGAATGCAATCATGCCGCTCGTGACCTTGTACCGATGCGATGCGATCACCGGAGACGCCAACAAATCGGCGAACACCTGCAGCAAACTCCAACACGTCTACAATCCGGCCAACGGTCTCGTGAACATCCTCATGAGAGCATATCAGAGACTGTGGAATGAAACGAAGAATTTGCCACTCGTGGACAGAATGGAGTATGCAATGGAGACTTCGTGCACCCTGAAATCCATTGTCCGTCATCACCTGTACATGAAATGTGGATCAGGATATGATCGAACATTCCCAGATGTGATGATGATTATCGTATTTGGATGGGGCAAAGCGAACATCCAGCAGGATTTCCGGAAGGACGAGATGAACGGCATGGATGATGAACAACTGGAATTCATGCGGAACCATCCAACCAAGGCCATATTCGATTACCAGGTCTCATCCGCAGAGCGCTATAAGCACGTGAACAATGAAATGTTCATGAATGGCTCGCAGGACTCCGACTCCCACAGTCCTCTCATGGTTTACACCCGCAGAAAATCTGCAACCAGTAAACGCAGCTCTGAGAGATACCAGGAGTACATCAAGAAGAAACAATCATCCTGGACCCCGCAGGAGTATAAGGGCTACAACAAGCAGTGGGGACATCAGAAGCAGTGGAAGGACTATAGCACCTCGACCTGGAATGATTATGGGGACTATGGCAGTCAATCCGACAGCAGCCGCCGATGGTATCATTGATCCGACTGACCATGAATATTCATACGTTCAGCACCACGAACAATTCAGATGATTGATCCTCGTCGTCTACAAGACTATACCATGAGTGAGGGATCAATAGTTTCACAATCGTTCAGCGTGTACATAGCGTTGTACATCACCCTTTGATACATCTAGGTATCCAAAAAGAAGCAGCGCATAGTGTTTCCCATTTCGAAGGCCAAGACATTTCATCCGAGCAGAAAAAGGATGAATCCGGCATTTTTAATACACATGGCTACGGCATACATCAAGGCTACGGCCAAAGGCCATGAAGCCAATAGTATTTCATACTTTGTGCTGGAGATCAAAAGAAATTTGTGTCTGTTTTGTGTTCTGTTTTTCAGACCATTGATCTCCCGCAACATTTGGCTCAAGGGCCCCTGATAGCGTGTGACAAAAGAGCCTCAGCAGGCCGCTTACAGGATTATCCACAAGACAATCCACCAGGGACAATCCATCCTCCAATCATCCACACTAGCATATTGGATTCTCTCCGGAATAGATCCAGGGACCAACAACGACCTCAACTGCCACAGGGTTCCAGTTCCCTCCGGGGATAGGCACCTGGGGCAGTGGGCCTCACCCCCCCCCCCGTTTGGATATTTGCCAAAAGGAAACCAAGAGTTTCGGGGGTTCCAACTTCCATTTTCGGACTCAGTGGACATGCGCCCAGACCGCTGTGCTCCAACTCAGGTTCGCCTGCCGAAGCTTCAGCAAGACATGCTGGAGAACCTGCTCAAGGAGCTCTCAGAAGGCCCCTGAAATTTGTGTCGGCTGTGCTTTTTCAAGCGGGGAAGTTGTTAAAGTATTTGTCTCTTTTTTGTTTGCTCATCTTCGTCGCTGGGTGGTTTGTTTTTTGTTTTTTCCCCCAACAGCTGAAAGCTAAGAGTCAAAAGGCTACCCCACCGGTGAAAAAGGCAGAGCAAAAACCCGTTTGGAGAATCCCCTCTAAAGAGAGAGATAATGGCCTCGAGGCGTGTACGCCACAGGACCACCCTCTTACACGCCAACTGCAGAGCCCCCACTCTTCCCCAGGTCACTGCTATATGTGCTATATGTGCTATATGGCTCTTACACGCCAACCTGCAGAGCCTCCACTCTTCCCCGGGTCAGTACTATATGTACTATATGTACTATACTATATGTACTATATATACTATATGGTATCGAGACGCGCGCTATATGTACCCTCCGTGTCCTCCAGACGTTGTGCGTGGCAGGTGCTCAAGGCTGAACTGGAAGAGTTGCGGCAGCAGCGGGCCCACTTGCGACAGCAAATCAAGGTGAACCGTGCGCAAACCAAGGACGCCAACCGACGAAAGAAGAAGTTGTTGAAAGCTGCGCGGCAGCTGAATGTGGACGACCTCAAGAGCTTGGCTGCGCTAAAAGCAGCGGACTGAAGCATTTTTTGTGTCGGCCGAAAGTCGCTCCAAAGGAGCTGTCCGATGTTGCCTTCACAAATGCTGTAGGGGTTGTGTGGCACTGAGCACCGTTTGCAGCTGCGTTGTGTCCATATGTCATGTTTGCCTATCTTGCCTGCTTCAGACGGCGTGTCATTTCATAGAGTGTAGGCTGTGGCTGTTCCAGCAGCACTGTGATCGCCAGCTGCTCGCGCTACAACCCCGTGGTGGCTTGATTGAGACTGAATGCGTGACGTTGCCCTCCTTGCTATGTGCATGCTGGGGCACTGTGTTTCCTTCAGTGCATTCCGAGGGCACTGCTTGCCTTGTTTTCTTGTGCATGTTTCACGTGGCAGTGGGGTGCTGCCCTTGCTAACTTGCACAGTGACCAGGTCCGTGTTTGCCCAAAAGTCTGGGAAGGCTTGGAAGCCCTGTTAGGTTTCCGCGTTCCGTGACTTGTTGAGAACAAGTGGCGTGATTCCGGCGTGGCCTTCTGCTGACTTAACCCTCCGCGTTTCCCTTGTTTCACATGAAGCTTATGTCAGTGTCGCTCATGACGGAGAACAGGTGACGCTACTCTAACTGCTCTAGGGCGCGGGGGCAGCGTCTAGGCTAAGGATTGTTGCTTGCCCGGAAGTCCCCTTGAACCTGACACCTAGCCTGCAACCCCAAACCCTGCACCAGACCACCCGGAACATTCCTTGAACCTTCCACCTGGCCTGCACCAGACCACCCCAAAACCTCCGGAACCTTCCTTGAACCTTACACCTGGCCTGCACCAGACCCCAAACCCTCCGAACCTTGCTCGAACCTGACTCCAGAGCTCCCCCAAGCCACCCCCTAACCTTATCTGGGCTGAGGCGTTCAAGCAAGGTTTCGGGGTGGTCTGGCGCAGGCCAGGTATAAGGTTCTTGGCAGGCTCCGGGGTGGTCTGGTGACGGCCAGGTGCATGGTGCAAGGAAGGTTGCGGAAGTTCCGGGGTGGTGCAGGCCAGGTGTAAGGTTTAAGGAAGGTCTGGAGGTTCCGGGTGGTCTGGTGTAAGGTTCCCCAACAACTGAACCCAGATAGGCTCCGCGTAAGGTGGTTTTAGCAGGATTCCACGAAAAGGGTAGTGTGAGCACTAAAAAGAGCACCGCATGCTGTTGGGGATGTCACCTGAGCTAATTTTTCAGTTTCACTTTCTTATGCAACACGGATATCGGAGCCTCTGGGGACACCTTCGAGACACACCCCGCGATTGCCTGAAAAGGCCACCTCCCCGGAATTAAGGGAACCTAGTATAAAGACACCTGGGAAAATGAATGGGGGAGATGAGGTCGATTGAGACTTTATGAGCGGATTCTTTCTTGATTGCTATTCGGGTGAATCTTTAGACTTTAAACCTTGGCTGATGTTGAGCAACAGGGTAAAGGGGTGAGGCTTAGTCGAGTTGAGCTGACTTGCTGAAAAAGGGTGGGTGCTTGCTTGCGCACTACACTCAGGCCTGTCTACTGTCTGGGGAGGTGCCCTTTTACGGCACGGCGTCCCTTTGCACTATGAAACGCACTTCTACAATCATGGGTTGTGCCCATGTGCCCTCCAACTGCTGTGGATGGACGAAATCCGTTCGCACCACCCAAACACCCTGGAATGATGTTTTTCCCCTTACCAGCGAACGTTCTGGTTTCAACCATGGCTTCCTTTCGTGGTGCGAGAGAAGCGGAGGACTCGCAACCATCCACATCCATAGACTCCATAGACGACCGGTTTGGTTCTCAGGCGGACATGGCAATTGCGAGGTGGGTGCCCGAAGGCCTTCGACGATTTGTTCCCTTCTTGGCAACCGTTCATTGGCTCCCGGCCATCCGGTTTTTTAAGATGCTTTTACTTGACTTAGTGCTTGGGCTTCCTTTCAACTCATTAAAAGCTCAGCTTTTGGCAGGGGATCTGCGGACAGCACAGGTGACGGGCAACTGAGGGGCTTTTAGTCGTGGCTCTCGTGCCGGACTACTGTGGATGGACGAAACCTGTTCGCACCACCCAAGAAACCCTCAAATGATGATTTCCCTGTAAATACCCACGAATCCTGGTTTCCCACGGTTTCTTAGATGGTGCAGGATTTCGTCCATCCACGGTATGAGTAATTCAGCCCCTGATGTTTTAAGCTAAAACAAGCCGAAGAAAGCAACTCCTGAGCCAGGCGCCACCGCCTCCTCTGGTCAGGCAAGCATGCCGCGTTAGCCGCGAAGGGTGAGACGTACTGTGGATGCACAAAATCCCGCACCACTGTGAAACCATGGGAAACCATATCGTTGGTATTTGCAGGTGTTTCATCATTCCACGATTTCTTAGGTGGTGCTGGATTTCGTCCATCCACAGTAGAAGCCAACCTTTTACGAGGCGCCATTCCATTTTTGCGGGAGGTGTTGTTCGGGCTGAGGAATGTTTACAGGACTTCCTAGTGACTTGTGGGGTGCCTGGAGGTCGTTCTCATAATGTTGACCCAATATTAATCAACCCCCACAAAGTATGGACCCCGTTGGGTTCCGGGGCTCAAGTGAGTGAGGAGGTCAGCTGAGCGCTTCAATGCGGCATCCGCCGGCCTCCTTTGCCTCAGGGCTTTGCCACGTGGCAGTGGCTCTCATGTATGCTCCTTTACACATAGTGTTACCCATTGTCCATTTATGATAAATGCCTAGAATATAGATAGATAGATAATTAGATAGATGGAAGGAGAAACTGAGAAGTAGATAAATCGATAGATAGATAGATAGATAGATAGATACAATGAGTATATTAGGCGTGGTTGAGCACTGACAATTTCCTCCCGTTGCACTCCAGAGCCCGGCCTTAGTGTCCCGTCCGTCCCCCCTCAATTTATTGTTTGGGTAGTGGGTTTATAGCCTTGGGGGCAGTGGACACCCATATCATTTTAGATCCTCGTTTCTGTGCGGTAGCCACTTGTTAGGCGTGCGAAACATCCAAGCAAGCAGGCTGTTTCTGAGTTTAGGGCAAGGGATATGGAGGGGTCCTTTTGTTTGGGTGCTAGAAAGCCGATGGTTTTGAAATCCCAGAATAGGATCGAAGGGTGTTGATTTTCCCGACCAGGCCAAAACGACAGACCCTGTGATTCGCAAGTCGGTCTTTCTGCCACAACATGCGGAAGTTCTTGGGGATGTGGCAAAAGTGCCCCGAACCCTTTTCCCACCGCAGTTGAGGGCACTTGCAAGCTGCTGAGCATGTATTCGGAATCATTATGTTTTAATGGCAGGGTGCTCTCAAATGCTATGGACTGTATCGTTCGGCTTTTGGATGCAATCTTGGACCCGAACTGACAGTTAAGTTGGCTGCTTTTGCCTGTTTGCTACAAACGAGCCCCCGAAACACTCAGGCTTCCTTTTCGACACCAACCAATACCCATCCCAAACCCGCCCCTCATTTTTGGACAGCCCCAGTTCAGGCATCAGATGCATGCACACATGTAATATAAATGGGCTGAATCATTACTCATGGGTTTTCTCGTCCAACTATGATTAAATTTGGTTTCGAAGTATCCCAAAGCCCTGTTCTAATGATTTACGCCTTAACTTTACCTTTGCATGTTTACATCTAGTCTATATCTCCCAAACCACCTGGCATGACATTCCCTGAGTTGCGCCCAAGTTGGGCCCCTGTAGATGCCCCTGAGCCCCTCTTGGCAGTTGGTGTGTGTGTGTGTGTGGCTAACCCCTCTTCAATCTAAACCGTCTTCAAATACATTCAAATACTGTAAGTCGGGGTAAAAGTAGGAGCTACACTGATTAGCATCCGGGTTAAGCTGAAGTTGTCCTTGTATCTGGGCCAGACGAATTTTCCTAGCTGCTTGGATTGATCCGATCGCAGGATGAGCAGCAGCAGCGCAGGGTACGCTTCCAAAAGCACCAGGTGGTATCGGACAGCTACGCGCCAGGGCCCTGATAATATGCAGGGCTCAGGGCTGCTTTTAAAGCCACCTACCCTCCCACCAATTAACATGGAAGCTGACGGGGACCCGGTCCTTCAAAAAGGAGAATGATCTTCCAGGACCCCGGAAACGTCAAGTTCCGTGCTAGTTAGTGGGAGGGTAATTGGAACGGAGAATTTCTTAAGATATAACATGGGCCGCAAAAGGACCCGGGAGTTCGCGTTGTTGGGTTTTGGAGGTCAGGATTGGATGGGCCGCCGATGCTTTTCCCACTGTGGGTTGCGAAATCCATGGGAAACACTCGTTGGTTGGTCTTTACAGGGGAATCGGATCATTTCAGGGTTGCAGCATTTTGTCCACAGCAGCCTGAATTTGTTGACCCGTTCAAAAGCGTTTTTTTGGTCGGTCGAAAGAGGGGCCCACAAATTGGGGGCGGGGGTTATTTTGCGGAGTTCCGTGGCGTTGTACTTTTTGGCAAGACTGTTTCGAGGTTCCCCAGTAGTGCCCTTTTACACCTTTTTTGGGGGAGGGTTCCCCTACTGAAATAACATCGGGTACCCTTAGTGTAACCTCTCTACTGGAGGACCTAGATGTTCAGTGGCAAATAAACTATTTTTGGGGGGCCATTCAGTCAGGAACCTGGAGTGTTCGCCTTGCAGTGAGCCTCGCAGCCAGACGTGTGGGTTTGCCTTTGAGTGCCCAAGTGCAAGAACCGCGAGCTACCTGTAGTCACCTGTACTGTACATCACTTCGATACCTCCTCCTGTTATTTTGGTTGGGTACTTGGATGTTCGATTCGCCAAGTTAAGTGGTTACCCTAATGACAGGGTCAACTCCACAGCGGGTCCAAAGTAGGACTGACATATATATATATATGTACATATATACACATAGAGGCATATACATGTACATGGTTTCCTTACATTACAAAAGGGAACCCTCAAAAATGGGTGCTATGGTCCCAAAGACCCTTTGACTTGCCACGAATTTGGACAACCATTGTAATTATTAGGCGGGCTCCAGGGGCGGCATGACACACGGGAGTTTTGTGGAACTGTGTTAGCAAATCCTAGGGGAGGGTGGAGCTAGCGACTAGAGTTCAGGCTGAACACGTGCTAGAACAGGACCCACTCGTCACCCAAGCGGTAGGTGAAAGGGAAACAACCTCAGTTCCTGAAATTGACCCCCAGAAACCGTCAAAATCATAAGTCAATGACTGAAAACGTAGGGAACACATGGGAACACGTATCGTTGCGGAGCGTTGGTGCGTTTTTTTGTTTTTCTCCAAGGCGCCGCGGCCTGCCGGCCTTCCTCGCAAGACACGGCAGCTGCTCGACTGAAGGGGGGGGGGCATCGAAGTTAGTGCCTGGGCCTATTGGCCCCTAAGAGTCACGATTAGCACCTAGATCCATAATTGTTTTGTGCTTGCTGGTCCTTGGGGTTGGGTTTCCCATGTTTGCACAATTTTCCGGGCCTGTGTCTTTCCTTTTTCTTTGGGGGGGGAGGGGGAGGGGGGTTCTTACGGCGTATACGGAGCACAGCGAGCCAAAGAAGCTGGCTGGCTTGAGCGCCGAGTGCCGATTCGGGAATCCCTTTTGCTTCGATGAGCTGAAAGGAGTATCTTTCAAAGGGATTCGATCGCGACCGGGCATGTTTTGTCTATTTTTTCTCTCCAGGGGGCGCAAATATAAGCCAATGGAAGTTTAGGTGGACTCATCTTTAGGTGGTGCTGATTTTATCGAGTCCGAGGTGGTTGTGTTTTGTCAAAATGTCTGAGATGTAAGCTTCAAGGAATCCTAGCAAAAGAGTATCGCGGAGTTTAGTGATGCTTAGATGGGTTGACGTTGGCAATGCCTGGCAACTAAGGTTGCTTCAACACGCAGGCGTGCCACGCCAAGGCGCGGCAAAGTGCAAAAAAAGCAAAAAGAAGAGCGTCGGGCGGAGACTCGGCATCCCGGGTTGGCATGGGCCGTTTTGGCTGGGCACTTTTTGCTTTTTTCCTGGGCTTTAAAAGGAAGGCCGGAAGGCCCGAATGGCCCTCTTTTAAGACAAGTCCACCTGATAATTAGTCCCTTCTTCATTTCTGGCCTTTGGTTGTGTTGCATTTCAGGGGGGGTCTCTGGCTAATTTGGAGACACCCACGCCAAAGTGTGCAACGGACATACATGGCATTGTTCGAGCAGGCTGCAAGGGAAGGCAGGTGCTAGGGCGAGAGTTTGTCATGTTCCGCGAGCCTGTTCCCAGTTGCAATGTCCTGTATCTTTGTTTGCGTACTTTTTTTTCTGCTCAAATGCTTGCTTGCGCGTTTTGTGGTGTGTTTGCGCGCTTGTTTGGAATTTGCGCACTTTGTTTTTGCTCAAATGAAGATACAGGGTTATTTCTTCACTCCCTGAGTTCCACCTGTTTTGGGGAAAATCAGTTTGGTGGTAATGCAGTTGGTTCAAATTAAATGGGATACGCTCCGCGTGTTCTCTGAACAACAGGCTACCGGTGAAATCCTGCTCAAAAAGGCCCTTTCCCCGCCGTGCCACACATGTTCTGTTAAACTTGCCCAAGGGTTTCCCCGCTTGGGGGGAGAAAAACGCCCTTCTGCTCGATGCAGAGGCGCCAAGAAAGAAAGACAGGCTCACTTCCTGAGTAGATTGGCACCAAAAAACGCCCGAGCTTGATGCAAAAGCAGTCTCCACGGGCGGCTCAGCTGTAGCCACTTCGAAGCCATGGTTGAAACCATAGCGATTGGCATTGGCAGGCATCGAATCATAAATCGTTGGGTTTCTTCCTTTTTGGTGGTGCCGGAAAAAAAGAAGAAGAGGAAACAACTAGAAACTCGCCACCATCCACCTCAGAACACCTCAGTACCGAAGAATCGCCATCCACCGAACACCTCAGAAGACCTCATGCCTGGCAGCTGCTCGTGGGCTCAGACGCGTTCGGCCGCTCTTGCCAGGTGAAGGAGGCCAAGGACAAGGACACCAAGCTCCAAGCCTTCAAGGAGCTCCAGGCGTGACCAAAGAAGAAAAACCACCAAAGGCTCGAGGCTCGAGGCTCGCAGCGCTCTTCTCTTTTTTCTCCCTTTGCCCCATGTTTTTTTTCCACAAGGCATGCTCCAAAATTAGTTCTTGCAAATGGATGTGAGGCTCGAAGCGCTCTTCTTTTTTGTTTCTTCTTCTTTTTCTGGGCCCATTTCTTTTCCGTAAGGCATGATAGGCATGCTCAAAAGTAGCTAAGAGATCTGCGAAGCTCGAAGCTCTTTCTTTGTTTTTTCCCGGCCCATTTTGTTTCGTAAGGCGTGCCCAAGATTAGTTCAAAGGGATATGTGATCCCCTCTTTTTCCCCCCTGGTTGTTTATCTTCCTGGCTGGACCTCAGCGCGGCCTCGCCAAGAGGCAACGGCGCCCACTTTGAGAAGGACGTGTGGCCAGGTGTTCCCTCTGAGTTATTCACGCCCAGAGGTCATTGATGCATGGACTTAACACTTGGGTTTGGACCATGTTAGTTGGAAATAGCAAGTTCCGCCTTTCTTTTATATCCAACTGCAGATTCCCCTCCCCCCCCCCGTCCCTCCCCCCCGCCTTTCTTGCACTTTTCCAGCTCCAAGAGGGAATCCAGAGGCATCAGACGCGAACCCTGAACGTACTTCCGGAGCTGGTGCCGTCTTGACCCCCCGGAACGAGTCGGAAGGGCGCTTCAATTTTGTAACTGAACAGGGGCCTTCGGGGAGGTGAACAAAAAGCCTCCTGGTTAGGTTTGATTCGTTGTACCCCAACACCTCGCGATGATCAGGGAATCCAAAACCCCTGAGCGGGCCAAAAGGCAACCCAAATGCAACTTGAATGGAAGGGGATTACAGAAATAACGTTCGCCTGGGGGAGGAACTAATATCTGTCTATTACTAGTGTACGTTTGTGTGCTCGGAAAGTTTCGATGCGGTCCTCGTCCCACAAAAACGTTAGAGATGTTCATTCCGAGCAAGGAATCTGAACTGCAGAAATCCATTGTCATTGTTCGGATTTCTGCTGGTGTCGAGTCGGTTTTAATTTGTGTTTAGCATCAGTATTGGTTCCAAAGTGTCCCTTGTTAGGCCTGGGCTTGCTGGTTAGATTGCGTTTGGTTTTGACAACTCCAGCTTAGGATTGCGGGATGGGGTTTGGGACACTGTGTTTATCTGAATAGGTTGCATTTATCAATAGGCGATTTTCGCTGACTCTGGATTCAGAAACCCCAGCTTGCTAACTCCAGTCGTGTCCCAATTCCGCATCTAGAGTGGCAATTCGTCACTTTCTGGGGAAGCACCCTCTACCACTCCAGGATTGATCAACATTCAGCAAGCCCACAAAAAGGGTACCTGCAAAAGGGATCACTTTCTGCGAGCAGTAAATTCTCTGACCAGATCTCAAGAAGAGGCCCCAGGCCCCCCCTGAAAAATCGTCCGCTTGAAAGCAACAGACTTGGGACATCTCCTTTGTCACCAATGCTGTGCAATATTCTGCATCGGTTGGTAGGTGGTTCTTCCCATTCACAGAGTCCATCACGCCTGCAGGACTTCCATACAGTGGGTGGACGAAATCCTGCACCACCTAAGAAACCCTGAAATGATCCGATTCCCCTGTAAATATCGACAGGCTTTGGTTTTGTATGGGTTCAAAGCAGTGGGAAATGGATTTCGTCCGCCCAACACTAGTAGCTCAGGGCCTCCTATTTCGAGACAAAGCCCACATGATGCTCTACGAAGTGCTTCCTGTATCTTCCTGTTCTGTTATTGTTGTAGAAGGTGCGCCCGCTCAAGTTGTCCGACCTAGCTTCAGTTTTGTGCCGTTGCGCCGATGTTAGTGACGCAAACTTCATCAAGCTGCAGAGTGTTGACGCATGGGTTGCTTCACCTCCCTGCCAGCCTTTCAGTGGAAAAGGTACAGAAAAGGTGAGACATGGTGAAACCTTGGTGACCGTCAAGAGTGGTAAATGGAAGTGCTTGAAGCACTGGGCTAAGTATTGCCGGAAACCCAACCACAGGGGTTGTTTGCGTTCCGTTCCAATTGGGCATGTAGATGCCCCTTCCAACACATTACTACAGGAAAGGGAGCCAGGAAGCGATTCTCTTACTGTAATTTTCCATGGTTCTGTGGTTGAGTCTGGTTGGTTTGCTTGCAAAATGGCAGAGCGTCCACTGGCGTCCACCTCGGCTTCTATTGCTGAGCTCCTTCAGAAAGCCACCCCCAAGACAAACCCATATCCAGTGATTCCATTCACCAACACTGGAAACCAAGCGAACCACCTGTTCAAAGCTAAGAGGTACATGGCTGGTTTGCCACACGGGCTTGCCTTGCTGTGAGATGTTTTCAGGGCATCTTGGGACCTTTGGGGTCTTCCATGTTCCGCTCTGAGTTCTTAAGGACTTATCAAGAGTTCAGACTTTTTTTTCGGCCAATCCACGCAGGCAGTGAGCTTCCTGAGTTGGACTTTGGCAACTTTTTCGGGCTTGGACCGTTTCAGTGGCGCTTAAACACTGGGTCCTCCAGTAGTGCCCTTTCTCACCCCTTTTGTTTGTTGTGAGGGTTCCCCTAAACTAGACTGCAGACAAAAAATCGGGCACCAGCTGATTCTAACCTCTCAAATCTGGAGGACCTAGTCGTGCTTCCTAATTACTAGACATATTTGCTGGTCTAAGTCCAGTGGACCAACAAAATGGAAGCACAGATCCATGGCCCTTTTCGGATTTTGGGCCCATCCACGTCCTCGGAAAGGGAGTCACGCCGAGTCACGTCACGTCGCGTCGTTTCGGTGGCCGGGGACCTCGGCAGGCGGAGTGCCTGGCTCTGGTGGCCTCCAGCGCCTACGCCCTCCAGGCGGCTCGTGGCTCGCGGCTCGCTGCTCGGGAAGCGATCCGAGAGTTTTGCCCCGGAGCCACGCGCTCAAAACCCGAAACCCGAAACCCGAAACCGAAACCCGGGTAGATGAGAAGGTTAGAAAAGCGGCAGCTTTAGCCAGAAGTAGTTGCAGATACCCTCAAGACATGGTTCTGGGTAGACCATTTTAATACCAGGCTTGACTCAGAGGGTTCTTTTTCCATCGCGGGAGGGTGGGCGGTGCATCCCCTGCCCGTTAGAAATGAAAGGAACTGGACCACCCCCCAACGTCCTCCCCCGTATGGTTTCCAGGTCTAGAAAAACGGTTTGGAGCAAATTGTTTGGGGGAATTTCACCGACGGCTTGGACTTGGGGGAGGGACCCCTACAACTCCATGGCACCCATTTTCCCTTATACTCGAGAAATGGAGATGGACCCCCCAACTTCCTTCTGTTTGAGGGTGGGATCTTCGGCTCAGGTGCACGGCGGAAGTGAAATGTCTGGTCTGTTTTGAGAGAAGTGTCCCTTGGGATGACTCGAGGGAACATCCCGAGCTCAAGTTTCTCGAAGTTGGGCCTCAGGTAGAAGAGGAACATGCGCACAGGTTGCCTCTGAACACGTGCAACTACAAAAGGTAGCAAGAAACGAAAGGAGCAACAATGGAGGGTCCCCTGTTTCCGGTTTGGAAGTTGAAGTCTTTGGCAATTTGTTCAGGTTCGGCCACGGGCTTTTTTGCCCAGGTGGCCGTCACTTGGGTGTGTCTATTTGTTAGGATTCGGACATCCCCAAAAAAACGAGTTTTGATTTTCTTTTTGGCTTCCCTTGAAAGCCACCAAAGAAGGGGTATCATCAAAACCACAAAAAGCAGATGGGATTTCCCTTTGGGCCCAGGAGGCAACCATCAGAGGCAGCAGCCTTTGATCAGAAGCCTTCCCAAGAAGTTTGGGCTCGGGCTTTCTCTCTGAACGGTTTTGTGTAAAATTGGATAAGGGAGATGGATCCCTTTGCAGAAACAAGGAACCAAATCACAAGTTGCAGTTGCAGGACTCAAATAAATGTGGTTGACAACATGGGGATGCCTTTGGTTTCTGTTTGAAGCAACTGAGTAGCTGGGTACCAACTCAAATGCGACCCGCAATTGGATGTTGTCCCAAGCGAAGCAAGCGAGAGGTGCGGCGTTTTGCCGGGTCAAAGCCCGGCCGCCTTTACAAACTTTGGTGAATAGACGGAAATGTAAAGCTGACCGGGTCAGGGCGGCTTACATGCGAATGAAACCGCCAGTGCAACATGGCACCGGTTTGATATTTGGTCCATGCTGATTACGGTCTCAACAGATGCTTCTGCTGCAGGAACTCCCACACAAACGGTGGGGGGGAAGATTTTCCCACGTGGTCTTGGGGAACAAAGAATATCACCCGTCTGGACAGATTTGTTCAGCCACAATTTCTGACTTTGGTCACCCCACTTGGTTTGAGGCAATGAGCCTCTGTTTTATGTATTTTTAGCTTTATGTGTATGGACACACTGCTAAGTTGAATCATGGCTTTTCCACCAAAATAACGGGACACCACCATTTACAAGGCAATGTTCAGGTGTTTGCATTTGCTTGGATGTTAGGACTTTAGCTTTTGGCCAACTAATGGGTTTTCCGAATTAAACCACTAAAAGTTAGTCACTTTTAACAGGGGAGCAGAACGCAACCGAGTATACAAAACACCCGGCCAGTTGCCTTTCCTCTGTAGGGGTAACTTCCCCATTCTTTCCAGGGTCCTTCTCTCTAGAAAACCACAAAAAACCCTGGGGAAATGGCGATCGGTTTTGAGAAGAACGCTGAAAAGAATGGAATTGGAATCAATCCCCGGAACCATACAGAACACCAATGGAGGTGGACAAGATGTTTTGGGGCAGTCTTCCAACCAGTTCCATGAATGGAAAGTGGTTTACAAAGGGTTTCTACAGATCCCAGGTGGTGTACAAAACACCCGGCCTGTGACGCCTTTCCTCCGCTTTTTTATTTTTTCTTTTCTGAGCTCCACGTCCGGAGGTGATCTTGCTGCTCCACAGGGTTCAGTTCAACATCGCTGGCCGGGAGGCGCTGCGGAAACCGGCACAAAAACAAACGCTCACGCCGTGGTCCAGCAATCTTCCCCAGAATTAGCTCCCCCTTGTTTTTTTTGCTTTTGTTGGGTCCCTTTGTTTTCCACTCACCAGGCAAAAAACATGATTTGTTTGCTGGGGTCCTAATTCCAGCCTAGTAATGATCACAGATATGGAAGGGGCTAACAATGATTACATGCGTTATTCTCCCATGACCATGGCTTATTTAGCCCAGTTGCCCAGTGGTGCCCTTATCTTAGGGTTCCCCTTCAAAGTCAACCAACCAAACAAGGGTGCCCGTTTTTCCCATGGCCACTGGGCATCTGAGTTAGCTTTTTTGGCACCTGTAGCACAACCAAAAAAACATCGCCCGTGAGCAGCCCGCGAGCCTCAGGCATATGTACTTTTCCGGTTTCATCACAGCTCGTGTTTGTTTTGAAGCTTACTTCCAACGCATTTTCAGTGTTCATCCGCTGCCAGTTTCCCAGTTTCCCACTCATCTCTGGGTTAGGCGGATTGTGGTCAAAACGCGAAGATCAGGGTGTCTTCCTTGGATTTCTGCAATGCCATGGGGTTCCAAGCCCGGCAACGATCGATCTCCTCAGTTGCCGCCAGCCGCGCTTTACCTCTGAGCCAAGGATGCGGAAAAATGTTCCCCTCAGAGAACAATGAGCCCCCCCCCCTGTGGAGGCGTAAAGTCCCCATCCCCCGGAGTTTGTAGGTGGTTCCTTCCAGTTTTCATCTGAGTTTATGATATTCGCTCACCTGGATTTAAATCACCATGAAGGTAGCTTACTCGGGGATCAAATTCTTACTGCAGGGTTTGGAGTTGTAACATTTGCCGATCGTTTGCAGATTGCTAGGTTGGCGGGCTTCATCCACCTCAACTGGGTGTTGCTGGGGTAGACTTAGGATACATTTAACATTTTGCCGCTGACTTGAAGTGAAGCAAACACTAAAATACACATTCTATGACTGGGCCTAACTCTAATCATGGTTGATTCATGGGTCGAATTATTTTGACTGCCACTGGGTTGGATCTTTAGACTTTAACTTTTTGCGAAATCAAGGGGTTTTCCACTAAACACCCAAAAAGGTAAGCTTTTTGCTGGGGTCAACTGCAACCAAGTTATCTAGACCAGCTTTTGGCTGGCTCGGCCAGGTGGCGGTGCGGCATCATGACGAGATGATGGATGCGGCCCGGCACAGCCGTCCGTGGAGAACCGCCTCCAATGGAAGTCTTGGAGCAAAAAACGGGCAAAAAGACCCGTAGTAAACTAGGTCCCCCAGTAGTGCCCTTTTACCTTTTTGGGGGTTTCCCTCCTAGAATAGACTACAGAAAAAGTTGGGTACCCTTATTCTAACCTAGCTAAGGTAAGTTATCATCATGGCAAATGATTTGGCTTCTTCAGTACACAACCCTCCGCCCCCCCCCCGCCCGAAAGCGAAAGCATGGAGCTGTGTTCGGTGGGAGGGTTTTGCACCTAGATTGTGCGCCTCATGTGCCGGGAATTTGGGGGCCGCAAGGTCAGAAGAGAAAAGGATCGCAGGATGTTGGCTCGGGAAGGCTGGTTTGTGTGAACTCGTGAACTCGTGTTTAGCTTCCTGTTGCAGATCTGATGGTTCACTGTTGGACGATGTTTCTAGGTTTCTAGTTATTTGTTGGTTCCTGTTCATTTTTAGTCGGTGGCTGCAAAAACAGAAGCTTTTGTTGCTACCATGCCATTTGGGTTGGAAAGGTAAGAAGTAGAGCAGAGCCCAAGGGCCCAGTTGACATCGGCAGCTAGCCATGCCCTTTGACGGTTGGTTTCTCAAGAGGTAGCTCACTTGCTGCCCATCAAGAAAGCGAATCGACGGGGTCTAAGCTTTTTCTAGGGGTTGATTCCAATTCCATTCTTTTCAGCCATCGTTCTTCTCAAAACCGATCGCCATTTCCCCTGGGTTGTTTGGTGGTTTTCTAGAAAGAAGGATCCCTGGAAAGAATGGGGAAGTTACCCCTAGGCTCTTGTGTTTGATGTGGTGCATAGTTAGTCGAGGATGCAGAAGGCTTGCTTTTTTGGGTCCCTTGCGCAGCTGAGCAGCTGAGTTGGGGATGACATGGCCGTGGTTGTCAAAACCAGTGGGATCCCATTTTGGGGTAGGTGAATTCACCGCCCATTTTAGTCGGGATTCTAGTGGTTGGATCGGGATGTTCACTGGGGGCTAACCGATTTGGATTTTGGCCCATGGCCCAGAGATCAGGACAGCGCTCGACTTTGGGCCAGCGATCAAACCAAACCCAGCGCGCGTATCAGAGGAAGTCTTTGTATCGACTCGGCGCCGTCGAGGCCAACGAGGAGGGCTCTGCAGTGATGCAGCGCGGCGCCCTAGAGATCAGGGAATCAGGACATGGCGGGGCACTTGTTGTTTTCCCTTGTTGGTTGAATATGTTTTCCCTTGTTGATTTGCTTGAGAATATGTTGTTGCTTTCCCTTGGAAATCCAGAGGGCGAAGCTTACCTTTCTGGCGTGTCTTTGCTTGGGCCCCCAAAATGGATTTCGGTTGTCCTGTTATGGCCCCCATTTCAAAGCCACAAAAAGGAGTTCTCTCAAAGACAGACTTTTGCGTTGGAAGCTGCTCCTCATGTTCTGGACTACTTCTGACCAATCAGATGTTTTAGGTCTGAAGCGGGAGTAAAAGGCATGGGCCAGGAACATTCCTTAGGCTGAAGTGCGCGTGACTAAATGAAGGGAAGCAATGCCCAGCAATTAGCAAGCCTGGAATTGAAGTCACTTCAACTACCGGGGCCCGCTTTTGTTAGCCAAAAGCTTTTGGCGATCGGTTCAAATCGGAAACCACCGACTTGACTGGGGAAATCCAGCAAGTTTCCTGGCAGGGGCCTTTTTCAGGTTCCATGTTTGTGCGTGCGGGCGTGCGTGCGTGTGTGTGTGTGTGTGTGGGTGCGCGCGCGCGTGCGTGCGCGCGTGGGTGGGTGTGGTGGGTGGGTGGGTGGGTGGTGGGTGGGTGGGTGGGTGGTGGTGGGTGGTGGTGGGTGGGTGGGGGGTGGGTGGGGTGGGTGGGTGGGTGGGTGGGTGGGTGGGTGGGTGGGTGGGTGGGTGGGTGGGTGGGTGGGTGGGTGGGTGGGTGGTTGGGTGGGTGGGTGGGTGGGTGGGTTGGTGCGTGGGTGCGTGCGTGTGTGCGCGTGCGTGCGTGTGCGCGTGGGCGTGCGCGTGCGCAGCGCGTGCGCGTGCGCTTGTGCGCGTGCGCAGTGCGCGTTGCGTGTGCTGCGTGTGCGCGTGCGCCGTGTCGCGTGTGCGCGTGCGCGTGCGCGTGTGCGTGTGCGTGTGCGCGTGCTGTGTGTGCGTGTGCGTGTGTGTGGTGTAGCGTGTGCGTGTGTGCGATGTGCGTGCGTGCGTGCGTGCGTGCGTGCGTGCGTGCGTGCGTGCGTGCGTGCGTGCGCGTGCGTGCGTGCGTGCGTGCGTGCGTGCGTGCGTGCGTGCGTGCGTGCGTGCGTGCGTGCGTGCGTGCGTGCGTGCGTGCGTGCGTGCGTGCGTGCGTGCGTGCGTGCGTGCGTGCGTGCGTGCGTGCGTGCGTGCGTGCGTGCGTGCGTGCGTGCGTGCGTGCGTGCGTGCGTGCGTGTGCGTGCGTGGGCGTGTGTGTGCGTGTGCGTGTGTGTGTGTGTGTGTGTGTGTGTGTGTGTGTGTGTGTGTGTGTGTGTGTGTGTGTGTGTGTGTGTGTGTGTGTGTGTGTGGGGGTGCGTGCGTGTGCGTGTGCGTGTGCGTGTGCGTGTGGGTGTGTGTGTGTGTGTGTGTTTTTTTTGCGGGCCTCCAACTTGGATTTGGACCGAGGGCAGCTTTTCCCCCTTGCATTGAAATTGGAGCACCCGTTCGCAATGAATAAGGGATTCGCACCCTGCAATTGGCCATGTATGATGAAGGTTCCTTTGTTGATCATTTCAGGTTGGTGACTTGAAGTTGTTCTCCCAGGCCATCAGTAGTAGGAACTTTTCCAGGACTTGCTCCCCCTTCGAGATTTCTTCTGTTCCTTTGCATCATGGGACCGCTCTGGGGAGCTATGGGCAAATGGTGAGTATCACTTCACTGTCGTTGGCATTTTTCGAGGTGTGTTGCTTCTTTTTGTGTTTGTTTTCATTTTAGTAGGGGCTGCAAACAAACACAGGTTGTTTGCTACCACACCAACGGTTGGATCACGTCTTAGTTGCTTGCGAGCTGGGTGCTTGGCTAGGTATAGGCCCCCTAAAAGCTATATATAAATAATATATATATATAATATATATATATATATATTTCTATATATATTTCCATGGAGCTCTATGATTGCAGATCGGTTTCGGCTCCTTTGCCGCTCTTCATGTTCATGATTTCTATGTGGACGTATCCACGGGGAAACATGTGTAATCAAGTCATATATGCGTCATTCGAGTGTGGGTGAACATGTTATTTAATAGTACGAACTCAATCAACATGGTTATCTAAATATACTTCTTATGTGTATATTTTCTAGGAGGCCCCCCAAGAATGATCCTTCTTTTTGGTTGCCCTTCAAACCTACGAAAGGGGGGCACGCTCAAAGCGAAAAAACACATTTATCAGTGTTGTGGGATCACTCGGGGTTTATCCAACCACTTCTGTGATACAAGGGAATCCCCTCTTATATAGGGGCTAGTCTGTGGGAGGGTCATTTCCCACAGCCATGCACAAAATACTCAGGAACTTTTCCACTCAGACAACCCCAAATTGGTGGTATGGATTGGTTTGGGGATTTGAACCTATGGTTCTTGTAGAGTGCAGCTGGGAAACTACTCTAAACCAATCCAAACCACCAATCCAAACCACCAAACCACCGGGCTCCAAACCACCAAACCACCGGGCTCCAAACCACGAACTGGGAGCTGACGCACGCAACGTGAGCCACGATGTCTTTTTCGTGCGGAGGCTGATCGACTCCACAGAGTTCTTCCTGGAGCAAGGCCCCGCGCTGGTTTCCGCGGCGGCGCGGAGAGCGGTGAAGGACGTGGTTAGAACCAACTCGCCGGTGGTTGGAAGGGAGCCCCGGACGAAGGGAGCTGGGGGGATCCGAATTTGCCTTCCAAGAGGAAGTCAGGGAGTTAATTTCCAGGAGTTTCAGAAGGGAATGGTAGGAAAGGCCTAACTTCACGTCGAGATGTTGGCCCCAAACAGCAGGGAAACCGGGGTATTGCTTTTCAATTGGCTGGAGGAACGCAAGTTACAAGACATGAGACTTTTGATGCTTGCACCAACAATGAAACGAGCAAAGAGTACCTTCTCCCTTTGGAACACATCGCTCAACAGTAGCATCTACAGACAAGAGAAGAAACTCGGTTCATTTTTGGTAGGGGTCGTCAAAAACCAATGTACTTTGCTACCGACCCGTTTGGGTTGGAAAGCTGTTTTCCCGTCATGGGAGAGTTCGCAGGTGCCAGCTGGCAAATCGGCAAAGCATGCCCTGCCAGGATCCCTTGAGAAGAAATGGTCTGTCAGGAGTTGAGTCAGGAAACCTTTCTATAGAATCAGATTCAATGTTAGTGCGGAAGGGTGCGTGCCGGGTGAGTACAAGTACTGTGTCCCCATCGAAGCGCCTCTTAGTTGCTGGAAGGCTTACGAAAGGAGCCCTCGGAAGGGAAGAAGCCTTTCATGGGCCAAAGGCTTGCTGGTCAAGCCCTGACAGGCAGGGCGGGATCACTCGGGGTTTATCCAACCACTTCTGTGATACAAGGGACTCCCCTCTTGAAATGGCGAGGTAGTCTTTGGCAAACCTTTTCCTTGTATCACAGAAGTGGGCATTTCCCACAGCCCTGCTGACAGGGGGTCCATTTCCCAAAAGGAGATTCCTCCGGAAATGGATGGCGCGAATCAAACATATTTGCACAGGAGGCATTGGCCACAGCCAACCTTCTGCCGGACACAGCAGCCGGGCTCTTAACTGCCGGCACCCAGGTTTCTCGTTTTGGCTTAGACATGCCCAACTCATGGTGTTACCTCACGTTCTGAGTTCCCTTTCGGACTTTAGGCGCTTTTTGGGGCTGAACCATTTTAGTGGCAAACAAAAAGTATTGTTACTTTCTTTGGCCAACTTTCTCTGTTCCTCAGGTTGCGTATGGGCGAAGCTCTTTTCAACCAGAATGGGTTCAATATCCACTGAGTCACTACAAATGCTGACAAGCTCCTGTAGCAATGGAGGTCGGAGAGAAAGTCACATATTGCTACTTGGTCAAGACTGACATGAGTTGCAGGTCAAAGTCTGTCCATTTAACTGAATCCTCAAGTGTGCCAGATGCAATTGATTTTCCCTTGTCCCACAACGGATTGCCGATGAGGATTAGCGATCTCCCATTTTGAGCAACTTTGCGTGCTTGAGACCCAAGGTGACGGCAGCGACGCTGTCCGCATTTTTCAAAGAGGTCTTCGAAAAAATGGAGCCGGACCGGAAGGGAGCAGTCGGTTTTTGGGGACGGGAGGACGCCTAGCGTGGTCTGGAAGTGGTGTTTGTACGTGTTCATGTCTTTAGTCGGTTGTTCTCCAAAGAAGTATGTTGTTTGCGGCCATCCCAAGATCAGCTTTGACTTTGACCGACAGGTGATATTGAAGCCACCAAAAAGGGACACTTGAGGGAGCCCTGCATCTGAAACAAAGATAAGCCACGCCGTTCGAACCACTCCAAATGTGCCGATTCTAGGTGATTTCGAGAATTTCACTTCAATAGGCCCAGTGCTGGAATGTTGATTTCGCGTTCTCCCCTCTGGCTGCCAATGGATCCTGTGTCGCTTGCCAAGACTCTGACAGGAGCTTTGGGCAGACAGCAAGGCAGCTGCGGGTCGTTGATTTACGGATTCAGCTCGGGATCGCTTGGAGAATTGGAGGGTGTCCTTTCAGGTTGGTTTACAGGGCAAGCAAGAGGAGCACCACATGTGATTTTCATAGATGCCCAAATGGGTGCCGGAATAGTGAATGAACCGACAGCGGCAGGCGGCGTGTGTGCGTTTGCGCGGCGCTCACCACGCAAGGAGTCCTCCAAACCTCAACTCATTCGTCTTATGGCAGTCTTTTTCCTCGTTGGTTTGGTGGGTTCGCCGCTAAAAAGGGGCCAATCTCAACAAGGTTTTAACCAGGGTCCCTGTGAAATGAGGCTCCTGGTCGAAAGTCTTTGCTCGGACGGACTCGGGCTTGTTTCCGCGCGCAACATAGAGCCGGATGCCAGGTGTCCCTTTGAGAGTTTGCTCTTTGATTTGTCAATTGGGCTGCCTCGGGCCTATTTGTTCAGAAATCCCCAAAGGTTAACCCTTTAACTTAAGCTTTAGCTGTCAGCTCCAGGTCCTTGGGGGACGGAGTTCGCATTTGCAAGTGCAGATGCTTCTCGGCGCACCGAGCCACTTAAGAAGGTCTCGCAGGTATGCAGCTTGTCCCTTGCCAGATGTGCCATGGCCAACACACCACATTACTTTCTAGTGGCTCCCAATCAAAGCGCCGATTTCCCCTTTCCGCCAGCTTCAAGCGCTGGGCGTTTTGCAACCCAGGTTTTTTTCTTGCTGTTTCCTTTGAGGGGACCCCTGGGTTCATTCCGTGGGTTCATTCCCTCATTCCCTGATTATCGCACCAGCAAGAATTCTTACAGCTGCAGACGTTGGAGTTAAAGCTTCTTTGTTGGTTGCATGTCTTCCTTGCCAAGTGGCGCCCCTTTTTCTCTCTTTTTTGGGAGTTCCCCTTTACACTCAACCAACCAAAAAAGGATGCCCCTTTTTTTCTCCCCTGGAAATCCGTGGGTTGCATTTGACTGAGGCTTGCTTGGGCAAAAAAAGAAGGACCCTGCGGGGGCTTATCAGTTGGCACGCTCAACAAAAACCTGGGCGGGGCCTGGGGTCCAGAAAGGCAACTGAGAAGTTCCCTCAAAAGGGCTCGATGGTTCCCAGCCATCCGGTTCTTTCTGGGTCCCCCAGCAATTGGTGCAACCTTTCTCACCAAATCATTTTTTGGTTGGGAGATTCGGTTCCTCTAAAATAGACTACAGAAACAAGTTGGCACCCTGATTCTGACCTCTCTACTGGAGGACCTGGTATGACCTGGTCTTTCTTTTTGTTTGCTTTTTAGTCGTGAGTCCTACTAAAAGTTGAACTTTTAGAAGGGGATCTGAGGAGGACAGCCCAGTCAGCAAAACATCCTTGTGCAAGCGTTCAAAGGCCTGTTCCCAAGAATCAAGAGGCAGTTTGAAGCTTGCCTTGCGGAATCCGCCTGTTAACCTTTGCTGGGGCTACAAAAAGCTCACTTGCCCAAAGCCGACCTTTTGACCTTTTGCTTTTCCAATTTTGGTCCATTTGTAGTAAAGGTCCCAAAAGGTTAACCTTTTATTTCCATGTCTTTTGGGCAAGTGAGAAAGTGCATCCCAACCGTGCCGAACGTTTGACTCTGCCAGGGTTCTTCGTTGCTTCCGCCAGACAATGCACGCCTAGAGAAGGCACAGCGGGGAGGTGAAGCGGACTCCTTGTCAAGTTCAGTTGGCCCCCCCCCCCCGTTCCCGAGTGGCTCGAAAGGCTTGCTCCTTTGTCAAAAGGGGGGTCCTAGTTCCAACACGTTTCTCCCTTGCAGAAAAAGAGACTTGCAGCCAGTTGGGGGGATCCAACATCCTCAGACCGCTACACCAAAATCAAAATCCCAACTAATAGCACAGGGCTCGTGTACTGTTAATCATCACTGTTGCTGGTATGTGTTCAGGCGTTTCTGTTTTCTGGTTCTGTTCATGTTTAGTAGGGGGCTGCAACCAAACACTTGGCCATGGGTCAAAATCCCGTACCCCCAGTGCACATCCCAATCCCCACTAAAATGGACTAAAATGTGGTGCACCTACCCCAAAATGAAATCGCACTGGTTTTGACCCACAGCCACGTTTGTTTACTGCCAGACCAAGGGTTGGAACGCGATTTGCTCTCAGTTGTTCAGTGGATCCCTTGTTCCCTGTTTTTTGTTATTTTCTTGGTGACTGTCCCACTAGAAATGGTCCAAGCCCCAAAAAGGGTTCCTTTTTTTCAAGGGTCACTGAACAACTGAGTACTCTGATATTCCTCCTCGTTTGCGTTTTGCTGTGAAAGGGTGAGGTCCAGGAGTTCGGTGAGACCTTTGAATGGTGTGGTTGCAGGCCTTCTAACACACTTGGTGGGATCCAACACGAACCATTTGGAACCGGCCGGTTAATAGGGTGTTACCTCCAAAATCACCCCCCCCCCATCTCTCAGCTCCAAACTCATTGGCTCAGGTTGTTCAGTGCCACCAATTCTTTCCCATTTTGGTGGCTACCCCACTAAAAATGGTCCAAGCCCCAAAAAGGGTTCCCTTCTTTTTCCAGGGCCACTGAACAACTGAGATACCCTTCCTCACAGTTGCCGGTGCATGTCCTTCGGCTTCCTGGCAAAACAGGCATGGCCATGCCAGAAAAGGTCACCCGAGGTAGACCCATGGCAGTAGGGATTCTTTTTGGCAGGTGATCCCTACTTGGTGGTTTGGGGGCTTGAACCGCTGGTTTCGTAGCCAAACCAAATCAGCAAGAGCGGGTAAGGTGATATTGTTCTAGATGGTGCAGCAACGTGGGTGTACCTTTTCTTTTCGTGTTTTTGTTTGTTTTTGCGGGGGTGGGGGCGGGAGTTTGCTTCTTGGCTGCGGGGAAGCCAAGAAGGACACCGTGACCACGTCTCGCGCAAGGGCTCAGCCTCAGAGGTCTCAAGCTCGCGACTCGATCCGCAGAATCTGGCTGCAGCGCACGCAGAACTCGGCCAGGGTAGGGTTCACTCACAGGTAAACCGCGGATCTCAGAAGAGCAGCGAAGTACGCCTCCTTGTGCGTTTTCTCTTCTTGTTTTTTGTTGAGAAGGGCTTCCTTCTGCTTTGGTCAGGGTTTCTGCCTTCATGTCCTGCTGCAACCTCCCCAAGCCGCGTGGATTTTTTCAGCAAATCCCCGTTTCGCTGACTTGAGGCTTGAGCCAGTTTCAGGCCACGCCCAAGCTCAAAGCTGCCAGCAGGAAGTTGGCCGCCCCTTTGGACCTCACAGCTTTTGGCACGTCGGATGCCAGGTCTAGTCCTTAACAAACCCACTCCAACGCTTGGTGGCCAAATTATTTGCCAATGGTCCAAAACCTGGTCCTCAAGCAACGAGTCCTGAAAATCCAAAATCCCCCCGGGAATGGGAACTAGGTCCCCCAGCTACATAGGTGACCTTTCTCACCCCTTTTTTGGTTGGGAGATTCGGTTCCCCTTCTAAAATAGACTACGGAAAAAAGTCCGGCACCCTTATTGTAACCCTTATTTTAACCTTTCTACTGGAGGACCTAGGTTGGTTTCCGAGGAGATCCCGGCGCCCCCGGTGTTTCCGAAGAAACCTCGGATTGGCGGATTGGCTTGGCCTCAAGCGAAGTCATGGCGTCCGAGCTGCTGGGAACTTTGGGCATCCGCCGGTCCACGGTGGAAAGGCGAGGGGTTGCGCGCAACCGGCCACCGGAGGTGTTTCCCCTTCAGGGGTGGTTTTACAATGGAGTTTCTTCGGTGCATTTTGCCAAGGGATGTGAGGACCTTAACTTTTCGCAAACCAATGGGGTTTTCCATTAAACCACTAAAAGTTAAACTTTTAGCCGGGGAGCAGAAAGCAACCGAGGAATGTATACGTCCATATGTTTAGCCCCCCTGGTATGAATTTATGGGTTACTTGACACTGGAGTTATGGCTTAAGTATGGGAAAGCAGCACCAAAGGGTCCAAAATGGCTATGGGTTTCTTTTCTGAACCTATACATTCAGCCTTTGAATGGGTCTGGGCAAATAAAGAGCTTATTTGGGGTAACACGAGCTTACCCATGATGAAGGTCTTTTGTTTAATTGGGGGATTATTGTAATTTGCCCAGATGGGTGGTTCGCCTTTTTAAAGTTGAACCCCTCCACACTGATTGGTGTTCCTTAAAGGGTGTTCCTTTGAAAGCCTTACACGCATTAAATCAGGTACCCTCTAAAAAAGACAGACCCATATTATGGGGGCTCGTCATTATGTTGAGGGCAACAGTCTTGGGGTTGGCTTATCCCAGACGAAGATTGAAGGGACACCCCCCAGTTTGAGGGTTTTCCCTACTTTGACACCCCATGTCACTGTTTTGGTACAGTGGATGCCCTGCCATATTGCAAGTAAGGGAAACGTGAAGCCGAATCTCCAACTTCCCGTGATGTACCATGGTGGTTTGGGTTGAGTATGGCTCATGAGCCTTGGGGCAGGACCAAAAACTTGCAGGTTCGACACGTATTTTGTTTTCTGGAACGCGCCAATGATAATAAAGGAAACTATGATGAGATGCGTATGAGGGTGTTTCCCTAATTTCTGGCTAGGCGGCAACACGTTGATTCTTGGTGTCTTACTTAGGATATCCTTTTGGGGCAGCGACAAAAAATCCGGGGCCAGTACTAGTCCCGTGCCTGCAAGAAAATCAGAGGATTCCCTTGCACAGGTGGATTTTGATATGCACCATGATGCACCCGTTTGTCCGGAACCCTGAAAGCTCCTATTTCCACGGGATCCCTTGACCTTTTTCTTGGGGGGTTCTCCTGGAGAAACTACACAGGCTGAGGTGGGAAGTTCCAGAGTGGATAATCCTGCGTTCACCTGTCGGAACATTTATCTTTGTCGCTTGGGTTAGTTTGGGGTTGTGGTAGCGCTTGGTGATTCTTGCAAGCGAAACGGGTAACGTGTGGCACGTGCAGACAATTTCGGTTACGACTTGCTGCGTTACTCAATCAGGTCGAGAGAGAGAGATAATGCAAAGTCGAGCAGGTTCATCGAGGAGGTTCTCAGGCACTTTATGATTTATATCTGATGATAATGCTTGCTTTGTTGGTTAAATGTTTTGTACAGTCAGCTGCTGCAACGATTATTCATATTTGCTGATATCTGTACGGGTAGGGGAGGACTGTATATCCTTGCATATTCCGCGCCCTTTGTGCTTGGTGACACCCTCAAGGAACAAAATTGAAGTACTGAAGTAGCCACGGTTAAGTGTAGAGCAACCGCTAAGTAGCACTTCTGAGAGGGGCTTGTTTCCGGGGGAGACTTGCTCCTGCAAAGCTATCCAGAGTTTGAACTGTGTAGCTAGAACCCTGACAGGGTCAACATGTTGGTGGGGTTACCCAAAGAATCGCCTAGCCGTGATTCCGGGAATTTGGAGATGTCGTGACAGCATGAACCGTGTGTATTGCCATGGTCCATTGCTTTGCACTTTTGGGGTTTCCATCAGTATCCCTTTCAACTGCTGGCCACAACCTGGTCTTGCAAGGACCCCTCAGTCAGGTTCCATGGCAAAGACAGGAGGGTTGCCGCGAGCTGGCACTGGCATATCCAGACCTTCAGGTGGCATCCTTTTTCCGGCTTTATTGCAACCAGCCAACCAAAGCCAACCTCTGAAGATCCACCAACCCAACAAAAAATGGGCCTTGGGTGTTCAAGCAACTTAATAAGTAGGTTAACACCATGATTAGAAGGGGACGATCATCCAGTTTCCCCATCTGAAACCAGTTGCAGCTACGTATTAACGTGGTTGAACATCCAAGTAAGGACCCATCAATTTTCAGGTGATCACTCTCGGCCAAGACTGGTTGCCCAAAAGGAAACACCGGAAGGTGATTTCAGGTCGAGATTCGTTTTGGGCGAGTGAGTGTTCGGGTCTTCCTTCACTTTCATGTCTTTAGATTTTCAGGTTGTCTGGCTCTGTTCATGTTTAGGGGGCTGCCAAACAAAAAACGGCGCCGGCCTTTTCTTGTTGCTGCCATAGCGTTTGGGTTAGACAGGAGCTCTGGATGCGTGACAGGTGTGGCGAAAGCTGGGAGTCCCATCCCAAGGCCTCCGAGGCAGATGCAACTTGGCGGAATCCGTCGTCTCGGAATCGGGCCGAATCGCTCCATCGCGCTGGAGTTGCTGGACTTCACGAAATAGGAGTGTCTTGTTCTTGTCACGCGTGTTTTTGTTGTTGTTTTTCTTGGTGATTCGTTTTTTTGTGGTTTGTTGTTGTTGTTTTTTTGTGGGGAGGGGTGGGGCGACCCAACATGAAATTGCCAATGTTTGGCTAAGTTGGCCACACACAAACATGGAAGATCATTTTAGACTGTGTTGGGCCAACTCAGTCAGGAAATCAGATAAAGACACCCTCTCCGTATACAGTAGTCTGCCTATTGTTTGGCCATGATGTAGGTCCTTTATTTGGATCCATTATTTCAAGTGTTGGGATGACTGTCAAAGTTTCAGATTATTAGAATGGGAGGTAAATTTGGAACCTAATGCGTCAAGTCCGGGACACGGAATAATCTCACGTTCCATGGGCAATATGTATTCCGGACCCTTCCGTTTACATAAGTTGACGGATGGAGATATAGGCAGCTGCGGTGGAAAAAGCGAGCCAAATGGCAAAAGGATCGTAAGTCCTCATGGCCAGATCAAGG